TGATTGGCTGTTTGGCATGTGACAATCATTCAACATTTGTGTAACTATTTTCCATATTTGGGACGTTCTTACCTGTTCTGTAACTCTTACCTCCATCTCGGAATATTCCGGAGCCTGCCAGATTTATGACACTGGCCCAAATTATACAAATCCCCCTCACGAAATTGCTATAGCTGGTAAAATAACAAATATTCCTAAAAATATTGCTAAAATTATTCCTGGCATAAATGAAAAAAAAAACTTCATTCAACAATTTTAAAATAAAAAGTTAGGTCCCAAATATAACGCAATACAAGGTAGCGATAAAAATTTTAGTAGAATTATCATCTTTAATATATCTTGCAATGACAGTAATAGCATGATAATGAGTAAGCTAATCGCATTAGTTCCTAAAGATATAGAAAGGAATAACGGCGAAGAAACTAATCTGGGTTAAATAAAAAAAAAAATTAAATAAATAAAAAAACAATCAATGAAAATATATAATTTTTTTAAGTAAACTTACTCCCCGTTCACGCTCTAACTTAATCGCTTCTAAGTAAGCAATTTTTGCTTCAGTGGACTTCAATTTATTATAATGTCTCTTCATTCTTGGAGTTAACTTTTTAAGTGCATCTCTCAATTCAGTTGTTCGAAAATCATCATCTTGATTGTCTGAGCCATTTTGTTCGGTTTGATCTCCTAGGGAATCTTTGCCTTTGGAAGTATTTTTACTGGACATTTTTTAAATCGAATTAACAAGCATCTGTGTGTGCAAAATACTCGGTTAAATATAAGTAAGTTGTCATCACATTAATTTTCCCACAACACATAACGCATGAGGTGTTGTGAATGTTATTTAATTATTTGCTATAGTATAATCGTAACATGTTACTACGTATTAGACATCAGAGCACAAAATCTACTATAAAATACCGGAGATTCCGGTAAATTAAGAAAAATTCCGGCGCAGTTTTTTGATAGTCGGAAATTTTCCGTTGTTCAAGAATTTTGGCACTTTCTTACATCATTACTACTATCGTTACTTCCGGTTATAGATCTTAAATTCCGTTTAATAAAAAGATCGCCGGAAAAATATCAGGATACGTCATGCCACAATTTTGTGCTCTGTTAGACATGCTCTAATTTTTATAAAAATAATTAATCTCACTATGATACGTACGTATGTACGTAGGTTTTGATTGACGATGACTCATATCTCTACCTAGGTATCATTATGTCACTCTTGGTTAATTCAATAAATTATAATGCTCGCAAAAATATTCCCATCGCCCCTAACTCTACGAGGTGGTATGATAAATTAAAAAAAAAACTTTTATTTAACTAGAACGTAATCATGCGGGTGGTTTTGCTGCCTAATTTATTTAAATTATTATGAATAAAGTTTTGCCGAGTTTAAAAAGTTTATAATTTTGTAAATATATTTAGAAATTAGAGAATCCATTGATGTAATGCTGCTACAAAATTTTAACCAACAAAACGTTGGAGTCGTCGCTGCTAATATTTCAGATTCAATCCTCCGTCTCATTGACGTACCACCCGTTGAAAAATTCCAAATTGGTATCGATATCATTACTTATTTACAGAAAAGCTACCTGGTCCGTGCTACCAGAAAAGACGTCTTTGAAGTTACACGTTCTGAGTTTTAAATGCTTTTATAAACGGGATGGTAACCCGGTGCTTAAATATTATATGGATACAAGCTCTACTATCTAGCATCTTAGTTGTGCGATAGCTCTCCGAATTAAATATAGTATTATAATAAAAAGAGTTTTGAAATTAAATAAAAAAAGTGAATTTAATTCTATATCTGAATTACAAAGTATATCTTTATTATCAAGAAATTATAGAAATCTGATTCCATAAAAAATGAGATATGCCTTGAAAATCACGTTATGGAACATAAGATTTACTATGTCCCATAACGTGATTTTCAAGGCAAAGACTCCATATAATTAGGATCAATATCTAACTGATAAAAACTATAGACGATTTAGAAGCTAGTTAGTAGAAACGTAACTGTTTAAGGCTGCGATTGTACTCATGGTAAGGTCAATTTATTTGTTTGATTATAATGAGTGAGTGCAATTACTGTATTGTTACACGAATTTGCATCAAACTAATAAATTGTCTATCCCATTCGACTCAATAAAAACTACAGTAGATACATACCATAGTTAAAAAAAGTATGACTAGATACAAAATTATTATACATCAAATCAATAATCGACAAATAACTTGGTTTTTCGATTTAAATTCTTCGTTCTTCATTTTTGAAAACCGCTCTAATCAGAAATTTCAGTTGTGGAAGATTATCGATGAGGAAGATCAATAAAACAAAATTTGGACCGGTCATTATTTTTTGACCGGTTTAATCCTTAGTTATAATATAACAAGTATATACATACATATAAATATTCTTTATAACAGTGATGCATGTCCAATTAAATTTTTTGATTGGACAGTTTTGGTCATGCCCAAAACTGTCCAAAATATATATTTTAAAATTAGTAACATACATACGGTATAAATGACGGGAAGAGAAAACCTGTAATTCTTAAAAATAGTTTATTATAAAAATTCATATTACCGTATAAGCGCGAAATAACGCGCAGGGGCGTTATTTTGAATAACGGCCCGAATTAGGCTTAATTTAGGCCAAATTTCGAAATTACACCCTGCGCGTTATTTCGCGCTTATACGGTATTTTATTTTTAGGACTACAGTTTTCTCTTCCCGTCATATATAACATTCATATTTTTTATATTTAAATAAATATAATAAAAAATATTAATTATATATTATATACAGAAAAATATTGATTTGGATATTGGAAGTAACGCCCAGAATGTGGTTCAGCTTAATTCAGAAAAAATTTTTAAACCAACCCTGAGCACTATAAAGAACAATTTTGTTTGGAAAATATTTGATTGGCTAACGAAAATTATAAATAGATTATATCCACTTAGATTAAAATGAAATATTATACTGTACTAAAAATCTCAACTCTAACCTTAAAAATTCCGAATCAACTAAAATTCTGTTCCTACCTATGGCATATACGCATATATAATATTTGTCCAAAACCAATTAAATTTTTTTTTTGGCTTTGGACAAGGTTTTGGACAGGTTTTGAACATGAAGTCTAAAAACCAATTGTTCAACACTGCTTTATATATACAAGTAATAAATTTATTAATTATACCGTACTAGTATAATGAAACCCTAATCACAAAATTTCTAGACTATTAAGGACTCATTCGGTGGCCGTTTCATAACGTTGCGAAAAAAAAAATACGGAGTGGTAGATTGATTTTTGCCTCAGGTGTTGATCGCTTGATCAGCATTAAATGATCAGCATTAATTGGCTTAAATTATAGCCAAATCCTTACACTTACTTTAACCCTAACTTGGGCCGATAGACACCTGAGGCACGAGATAACCGTTATATAACTAACTATATATATATATCTCTATTATATTTAATTTAATACCTTGTTTTCTGTTGCTCTAATTTATTGTCGAATTAATAACAAATCATTTAAAGTTTAATTACTTGCTGTTGCAGAAGTTACTATACTAAGCACAGTATTGTCATTAAGTTTATTCTATAAAGGAGACGAGACCATGCATTTTTCTCAACGTAATCACATGCATGAAATTGATATTAGCAGTAGAGGTGTAGGCATTTAGAATTTTAGAGGTAGCTACCCCGGCAAAAATATTACGCCGATTCGAAATGCCGTATGCCGTATGAATGTCGTACGTCATTCACTGGGCGAATATAAAGATGATCTATTAATCTGTGGAATAAAAGTGATTCATGTTTACAAACACTTATTTACTATTAATTACTATTAATTAATACCTATTCGGTCGGTGAGTATTACAATAAATTTTTAATGATACATATGATAAATATATATAATATTTGACGATGAATAAAATACGGCAAAGGTGTACATTGTAATAAAGACACCCATTTAAAATATGGTGTCTGGCATGTGATCCAGACAAACAAAAATAAAAATATTAAAATATTAATGGTTGCATCAAAAAATTTCAGCTTAGAACCATTGAAATGCAATTGATCGGATTTCATTCATTAATTAGCGTATAAGCGCGAAATAACGCTGATGGACGTTATTTTTAACTCGGGTCCTTCAAAAATAACATATTTTCTCGAATTAGCGCTCGCGGACGTCCCGAAATAACGCGTAACGTAGCACATAACTTATTGTTGCAATAGATGATATACGGTAGACATTCCAAGTGTGACTTTATATAAGTGCATTTCACACGCACTTTCCCTATAATGATAAGTGCACGTAATTTGATCGGTCTAATGTAGTTATTTAATATTATCGTCATGTGTAGATTATGCTATAAATGCACTTTTACCCAACAATATGCCATTTATGGAAGTTGGCTGTGTTGGATTTAGAAGATCTACTTTTATTTCGAAATAACGCGCACTAATGTTAAAGTAATTGACAAAAGAGGATTTTATTATGTATATTCAGTAACTTGGTTGGATGGTATACGAAAATTGATTATAATTGTGTAAAGCGCGTACAAAATTATTAATTTTTTTTTTGTGTTTACTTGAAATTTGATTGACCAGTAAATTTTTCAGGGTGGTAACATACCAGTGTTGGTAATTGGGCTATGTCCAATAAAAATTTTATTTGGACTTGGACAAATATGGACATGAACCAATCCCTCTTCTTTTGCCGAATTTCCTAACTTTGGCTTATTCTATCCGGAATATTTCGGAGTAGCAAGCTCACGTCTTATAATAGAAAATATGGATAGTCCATAAATGTTTATGTCCAATGGTCCATGCTAATGCTGCGGTATACTACATTACTTACTCATGGCAACATAACCGTAATGCCGTAAGTAGTCACTACTCTGAGAAATTAATTAGCAATATTATTTAATTAACAGACGTTGCTATAATATAAAAAAAATGATAAGTTGATTAATAAACAGTTTGAATTGTTATCTGATAATGTCAAAATAGTCATGTGAGTTTTAGCAGAAATTTTAGTACGCGTGTATATAATACGACATTTTTACTCCTAATACTAACCGCTAACATTAAAAAGCTTTTAGAATGATTTCATAATACAATCTTCCAAATCCTAACACTAATCCTAACGCTAAAGAGCCATTAGAATGATTTTTATACAGTATTACTTCAATATTTCGAATTTTTAATTGTCATGTTACATTAAATCTTTCAATCGGATTGGACAAAACTCATATGACTGTCGTCTTCATTTTATTTTAAACATTCGTAGGTTTAGAATCATTAACAGAGCTTTATACAACTAAATAATCAGATCTTTTAATAAAATATTTAAGGCAATCTTATTTTATTTTCAATCTAAAATATCACGTCTCGGGGATCGAATCTAGAATTCGTCGTGAACCATTGTCACACTGGTTACACCATTCCACTATTACGTATAATAAATGAATTAAATTTTTCTTAAAACAATCAATTTTCAGACTATGATTAACTATCAGTAATACAATTCTCACTCGTTATAATGATGAACCCTGATATAGATATATAATGAAGAATTTGAATTGCTGCATTGATGTAGTAATGATTTTCTTCTCAGCCCAATGGCTTCAATATAACGAGAGCGAGTGGTTATATGTAAGGCTATTTATTTCGTAATATATATATTATTTACATCTTTGTTTATATCTTTGTTTCGTTCAAAATATTATACTTTTTCAATATAAATACAGTAACATTAGTATTAATAGTTTGTGTGAATTTAATTCAGGTCAAAATATAATTTTCCAAAAACGGTCTGATGAACAGTTTATTGGTTAGAAAAAACATTGTTAATGAACCAGTCTGGGACAGGTAGTACCATATGGCAGTACAGATTCAGACAACATATTATTAACATTGACTTGTAAAATTCAATTTTCTTTTTAATGGTTAGGGTTAGGAAAAGGCAATTATTATCCTTTGTTCATGTCATGGTAAGAACAAATTATAGGAAAATAGCTTTGATTTGAATTTTTTTTTTTTTTCAAACTGTATGTAGTATCATGATTTCTATATGTCTGTCTTAATTGTATTTTCTTACCGTACTACTTTACTATATACTCGTCTGAGACGAACTGATCCATCAGCACTAATTTTATCGTTAGAGTTATTTAATACGTTGTTCTCTATGTACTATATAGTTATGTTCGTAGCTATATTCATAGTTTAAGATAAAATTTTCAAATTGAATTTTATATACAATAAAATATATATTTAAAAAAACAAAAAAAAAAAACAAAAATTTATAACAATATAAATTTTTTACTAATTAATGGAAATTTATTACAAGAAAAAAAAAAGAAGAAACAAAATATATTTGACAAAATATTTATAATAATAAAAATTTTCAATTAAAACTATTCTTATTACCAGTTATATACCGGTATATAACACGTATATAATCAAATAATTTTAAGCTCTTAACGTTAACGTTATGCTAAGCGTACAAGCTTGGGTGTTTAAATAAATTATGTAAATTAACAGTATTAAATCTCTTATTTGTCCTAGAAATATATATACGGTCAGACCTCCTTAAATGCATAATCTCTCTAAATGCATGATCTTATTTGGCCCCAACTTATACGTACGTATAACACTTATAGACTTAAATGCTAAATGCAAGTTTTTTTTGGCTGTACTCGGCTATGCCTTTAGAGGTCTAACTGTATAATTTTTTTTTTTGAAAAAAAATCAAAAATATAAAACATAACCAAAAAATAATAATATTTAAATCGTATGATTGAATGATTTTCCAGAACAACTATACCAAAATTACATATATTTATTGTTGTTTTCGACTCTCTCAAATTCTGACATCAATGTTGTTTGATTATTTGTAAACACGTTAACATTATTTCCATTATCATGTAATAGTAATGGTTGTAATGACATTGATGGTGGTTGAGAAGGTAATGTAACACTTTGTTGTACTTGTTGTGAGTGAAGATAAGATGACCATTCTTCGAAATTTGCACTTTGTGGAAGGTTCCAAAATCCTGAATTCAAGGAACAAACTCCATTATTTGTTGAAATTACTCCTTGTGCTGCAAAAGGATCTGATCTATTTACGTTAGATTGTGTTTGTGTTTGTGTTTGAGGTTGTGAATACGTTGTAGCGGTGGTTGTCATATTTCTGAATCCAAATGAATTATCGTTATTAAACGATTCTTGAAAATTATGACGCAGTTGTTGTGATTGTTGTGTTTGATTAAAAGTAAATGATGGCGATGAAACTATTACTGAATTGTTATGACTCATTACTGATGAGTGTCGTTGAAACGTTGGTAAGGCATTTGAGTTATTAAAAGGTTGTGATTTTACAGAGCTTTCACTATTATCATCATTATCGTTATCGCTATTATTATTACTATCATTATTATTATTATTGTTATTATTATTATTATTATTATTATTGTTATTATTATCATTATTATTATTATTATCATTATTATTATTATTATTATTTGATGCAATATATTGACTATACTGAGCACGATATCGTGCTTGCCGTCCATATCGGTCCATGGTATCAAACGGATTTGGTTGATTATTTGTAAGAGTATTTCGTTTTTTCAAATTACGGTTACTTTCTGTGCTATCACTTGGTGATCCCTGGTTTGTATCTAAATGTAAACCTTTCAAATCTACCAATCCTATTATCAAACTAATATATTTATGTGATAATATCCAATTATTTTTTAAAGACTCTAATGCTCTTATGCACCTTGCAAGATTCATCTTTGCTGATTGTGAGATAGTGGTATCAGGTTCATTAGCATTACATGCATGAACAACTGAAGTTATAAAAGTACCATAAATTATAACGGGTAAAGCATTCTTCAATGTATTCTGTCTAAACATCGAATCAATGATTTCAGAAATGACTTCTGCTGATGAAGTCAATATTTTATGTGATGAATTATTTCCTACTACGAATGGTCGATGAAGTAACATTAATGATTCATAATATATCACATGAAGACTTAGTGTTGATACATCCAAATTATCCAAATGTTGATCTAATGGATTATATTGTAAATGTGGTGGTAATGTTATAAACCAGGTCTTAAGTGACGATTCAAGAATCGAAATTACTGAATCACTAACTGATGCTTGATTACATTTTATAGCATATACATTTTGAAGAATACGTCCCATTATTTCACAAAGTCTAATCAAACAATTAAACCGTGATATAATATTGACTGAATTTGATAATTCTCTAGGCTCTTTTGATTCTTTGTTAACTTGTGTTGAAGTGTCATTATTTGTAGAATTTGGTGATGACACTAAACTTTCTGTGTGTTTCATTTTAAATGGAAGTGATTCGTAGTCATCATCTCCATCTTCCGATGGATGCGCAGCGTCTACATCCTTTTCGTCAATAGCCAATGGGCGTCCAAAATGTACGCTTGGTATCCTATAAACAAATATAGAATATTATAGAGTATTATAGAGTATAACAAAGTATAATAGGTATAATAGAGTATTAGTATTGATAGACGAATAATATATTAACTTTCTCAAAAAGTTTAACAACGCAATTTCGAAATAGAATTAGCCAAGGTAAGACAAGATATGTGGTGCTGGTCTATACGAAATATTTAATTCGGGCAGCTTGATCTTTTTAAATGATTTTATTATATTGACGCTGGATCAGACGACCGACACTTTTGAGGGGCTAATTCTCGAAAATATGTGTGTAAACGTATATTCACCTATCAAGAACATAACAACCCCAGAAGACACGTTTTTGTTCTTCTTTTTCTCCATGAGATAATGTGATTGGATAACACTTTTCGTTATTACGATGCAAACCTAAACTTTGTGCCATTCTTGCAGCCATACCAGTATAGATCCAAGATCTCGTGACTCTACCAGCTCCATATTCTCTAAGAGATAATAAAAGCAACGCTTGAACGTTTGTTATGTGGGCTCTATCATAATCACTGTCGAGTAAAGCTTTCGCACGATCGAAATAAACATCTCCTGCAGTTAATGGGTTTTCTCGATCCTTTCTTACTTCAATGCAATCAGAAAAATTTGATGCTAAAGTGTATATAGAATTCAACAAAAGATATGGCGGATTTTTGTGATCCTTTAACAATTCAAAAAATCGTGGCTTATATATAATGGGAAATGTTGTATGAACATGTTTGAAATAAAGTTCTAACAAATGATCGGATAATTCTTGAGAAGGAAGTTCTGAATGTAGTACCAATTTTTGATTTGATGTTGAAGTTTGACCGTTGTTGATATTATTTGAAAATGACAAGATTCCATTCTTGTATCGATCACTATGTTTTAAAAGTTGAAGGCCACTACTTCGTCCGTAATAACTAACTTGATTTTCCTCGTCTATACTGAGAATTCCCATTGCATCATTAATATAACCAATTTCATAATCATTTGTATTAGCATTGGTTGAAGAATCCGCTATAGATGTATCATCAAGTGATGACAGTCTGTTTCTCCATGCTGCATAATTCACTTTTCTAGCTTTATGAAGAGGATGTAAATCATCTTTCATCAACTCTGCCAAGATTGCCTCCGCACGTGGATCATTACTATGAGCCAATTCACCCATAAGTGACTCCATCTTGTACAATCGAGATTCGATGGCTTCTATGTAACCTTTAGGAGGCCCCCTGTATAATAAAATAATCAGGATTGTTAATCCTTAACAGTTAACGTTAACAGTTAAAAGAATCGAACCAAGAATTTTTAAATAAATAAAAAAAACATACCTTTTTTTGGTAGTGTCATTATAAGTACAATTCAAGTTAAAAGCCAAACAGTTGCTACATACGGGAGGGGCGCCACCACACTAAAATGATCAAAACGAAAACCAACCAAAAAAATTCAAACCGGTTAGGAAAAGTTACATTGTTTTTTTTTTTCTTAATGATAAATTTTTTTTACTACTATATTTTCTTATGTGATCTCCATTTTTCTGATTTTATTAAATTCCTTAACGGCTAAAAATGTGTTAAGTTTTTTAACGGCTAAAAGTTGAAGAACTGACATGTTTTTTTTTTTTTTTTAATGGCTGACGGCTAAACATTATAGAACTATAAGTTTTTTTTAACGGCTAAATATTAAGTCAGAATCCGAAATTTCGGTAAATCCCCTAAAATGGTTGTGGATGCCTTTGCTTACCTGATTCCAACACTTTATAATTAAAGAAAAAAAAGATATTTTACCTTTACTTTCTTTCGGCGGCAAGAATCACAAGCTTTAGAAACGCGTTGTCTCTTATAGGACATCTTATCGCTAATTTCTGACATGAATCAGATAACTTTTTTTTTACGTTGATTCGTTTTTATACTTTAATGAAGTACAAGTAACCGGAATTTATATCAACGAAATTTCATAGAATGTTACATTTTTAACTTTAAAGGTCCTTTTCCCGTTACGACACTGAGTTTTCAGTTTAGAAAGAGTTACTTTCACCTGTAGCACTATGTATGGATCATTCTGCTTTAAGTTAAACCGGGTCAATCTAAATGATAATCAAGACCGAAAAAGCTGAAGGCCCGATGTTCAATATGTTTAATAATAATTATTTACTAAACGTGAAAGATTTAAAATGAACCAGATCAGGATCATTTAACAAAAGCTTCTAGCTATCTATTAATTTTTTTTTTTTTTTTCTGCTTCATTTATTAATTTTTTCGGCTTGTCTGCTTAATTCAGTAACTATTTTTATTTTATTATTACTATATAATAAAATAATAAATTGTTATATGCATACTTAAAACTACATATACAACTTTGCATTACTATTATTTTCCTAACATTAAATTGAGATAGTATGGATCTACGATTAAATTCTACGTACTGTACTGTACGTACGAACGTACAGACTGCTACAGTACCTACATTCATACGTACGTACGTACGTACGTAACGCAAATAAATATCGTAGCATGGACTCGCGCTACATTTAAAAAAGAAACAAATCACGCATGATAACACAATGTGACGGCATAATAAAAACAATTCAAATATTATTTATTTAACTAATACTGTAATATAATGCCAAGTCATTCATCTATTTTGGGGTTGTACTTGAGCTCGTGTAACAATCCCGCATAAGGGAATTCACATTTCAAGTAGAACCTACAAAAACGTTTCACAATCAACGCTTAAAACAAATATTAACTATTTCTTTTTTTTTTTCTTTTCATTTGCATTTTCATAATTCGCTAACTATAATTATTTTCGACCTTCCCCTTAGTCGTTTATCGTTCGTTCTTTACTTTGGTCACGTTTTCAATCCTTTTTTCCGTTCACGTGCTGTACAAAAGAATTATTTCGCTTTCTATTTGACCTCCTCATATAATATATCCATTATTTTCCTGCACAATTACGGTTTTAATTGCCCCAGTTCTCCTCTATTTATCAATTGGTTTTCCTCCATTCCCAATTACCACTTTATAATAATTTTTTACCGGAATTATTATGTGACAATTATTTTACATATTTAGCATAGATAGCGATCATTATTAAAAAAAAAAAAAGGAAAGATATCGAGATTTATCAGATACTTAGTGTTCGGAAACTAATATAAATAATTAATTATAATTCTATATATAAAAAGATTTAAATTCTATAACTTTTTGAAATGCGAATATTTCATCAATTTTTTCTAGTTATCTATTTATTAGTACAATGCATATGGATTGGAAATATTGAATGTGACCCCAAATCTCCAAGATTGTAAATTGATTTCTAAAAAATTTTTAAATGATTTTTTTTTTTATATATATTGATTTTTGATAATAAATAACTTTATCTAATATTTCGTTTTTTTTTTTTTTTTAGTGGTCATGCTGCTGCTTTGATAAATAACAAGTATGTAAGAATCCTTGCACGTAAAATTATAAATTAATCTTAAATTTTAATTATTATTTTGAATACTGGAATAGATTATATATATATGGAGGTAGAATAATAAATCCACTTTCATCACGAACAAATCCAACAGAAAGTTTGACACAGAAGGATGATATTAATGAATTAATAATGTTGGACTTATCAACTTCATTCGATTCTTCAAACCCTAACTTTAACGTTATTACTCCTAGCAATGCGCCAAATATTTCTTTTCATGGTATGTCGGCGGGAGGTTCAAATAATCAATTGATGGTTGTATGGGGTGGTGAAACAACAAATTCCACGACTTCCAATTCATTGTTATATTTTGACACAACATCTCAACAAATGATGCCACAAGATTCTTCGAATGCGCCTATCGGAAGGATCGGCCATTCAATGGTTACAGGGATCAATAGTTCTATGGTCTATATATTTGGCGGATACGGTGGTTCAGGTAGTTCTTCTGATCAGATATTGGGGTCAACACAAACACCGGGTACTATTTATAACAATATGTATGGATTGGATACATCGAATTCTGTTAGCATTAATTTTATACCCGAACAGCAGAGTACAGCTCCAGGAAGAGTACAACATTCAGCTACAATTTTGAGTAATGGAAAAATTTATATAGTTGGTGGTCTTATTCTTTCTAGTAATGGAGGACCTTTAGCCTTAGCTTCTATGTCTGATATAGATATTTTTGATACCATAGCTAGCAGTTGGAATAAGGTAATTTGTTAAAATTAGAACAATAATTTTTTTAGCTACATTTTCTCTTGATGAATATTCGATAATCATATTTATTATTCGTCCATTGATAGTCGACAGTTACAAATTCACCTCCAGATCGAAGACTTCATGGAGCTGTTGGAAGTATGTGTTATATTATGTTATATTATGTTATATTATGTTTATCTAACCATATAGATTATCATTAAATTATTCTTAATTTATTATAATTAATTCGGCAACTGCTACTTTAAAAAAATAGCATCTGGCAACAAGATTATAATTTTTGGAGGAGCGAATCTTACTTTACAAAAATATAATGATATTGCAGTATTAGATACATCCAATGACGCTTTATCTTGGACTATACAAAAATCAAGCGGAACTCCACCCTCACCTTGCTATTCACATGGTTTTATTTTAGCAGGAAACAATGCTATTGTTGCATATGGTATGTTTTTTACATTTATTATTAATAGTTGGTTTTAAAATTTCACCAAATAATGACGCTGAAAAAATTTGTATGATTATTTTTTCAGGAAATGCCGTAAGCTTTTGTTTTTCTTTTTTAATATATATATATGTGCAAATGAGGGTATCCGTGACAAATTGACAATATATATTGCGATTCATCGACCAGAATCAAATAATTCCTTACCTCACAGAGAAGAATCGATTATAAAAAAATCGTTCAATCCTGATCGCTAGATCGCACCCTGATCATTGGTTTACGAAATATCGACTCAGAATATCATATGATATTATGTTGATATCTTGTGATCCAGTAATCAAAATAAAGGTTGATTGAGACGAAAGCTCAGGATTTCCGGGCACGTGATCGTGTAGTATAAATATATCATTTTCCCGACAGTCATTTCTCCTGCAGGCCATTACCCGGCATCATGCAGGTGACAATTTACTAACAATATATACTTGCAACTAATCAAATGTTAATCTTAGCCCTATGTGATGTCGGGTAAATTGCCTGTAGGGGAAATGAGTAGCTATCCATATAGAGTATATAGAATATATACGTACATTGATTATAATTTAATGGAGTGCATGATATTACATCTTATAGATTATTATGGATTATATATTACGGTACATATAATATCCTGATAACTAAGATCGCTAGGTATTAGTCAAAATACTTTGATCCGTATATGTATAAGCGGAAACAAAGTTCCGCTAATGCACAACGGGCTTAGGATATTTTTATCATATGTCGACAATTCCTAAATATTGACGGCGTCTGCATGGGATCACGAGTTACGGGAAGTTCGCCACAATACCCTAACGCTAAACATATATATGTATATGTATGATTATAAAAATACCAAACACGAATAATTTCATGTACTGTTATTTAAATAAACAATCTTTTCATTTATTTATATTTGTTAGGATAACTTTACAAATACGAATATTTTCATATTAGACATAACAAGCTACACTTGGAAAACTCAATACAATCCTCAAAATCTTCCACCCCCCAGTAACTCCATAACGAATTCCAAAACGAATTCCAATCAATCTAAAGCAATTAATATTCCCGCCCTTGTAGGCGGAATAGTTGGTGCTATAGTATTGGCTGCTGCAATTGCTGGATTGATATTTTGTTTAATTAGACGACAAAGAAAAAAACAACCTTCGTTTATGACGACACAATATGATAGAACTCAAGCAGCAGCACCACCAGTTATGGGTCCTGCACCTGTAAACGATGATTTACCACCAACTATACCACCATTTACAGCTAGTTTTCAAAAAGATGGAAGCCTTGGTAGTGATACAAGAGTTCTTAATTCAGCTGATCAACGTTCTTCTTTCGCCAGTTCACATAGTCTATCTAATAGATCATATGGTGAACAGTTGGATACTGGATATAAATCTGGTGAATATTTATCTAATTCTGTACCAATTCATTTTGAGGATAATCATTCACAACAATCATTAAATATGCAATCATATTTACCAGAAAATTATTCAACACAAACATATCCTCCACCACCAGAAACATATCCTCCATTACCAGAAACATATCCTCCATTACCAGAAAATTATCCATCACAAACATATCCACCACCAGAAACATATCCTCCACTACCAGAAAATTATCCATCACAAACATATCCTCCACCAGAAAATTATCCATCACAAACATATCCTCCACCAGAAAATTATCCGACTACGCCATTATCAATAAATACTAATTTAGCGCAAGAACATTCTTCACAAAGTGGATTTTATAATATACAAGGACAATCGTATAAACCACCTTCACATTCATCTCAAGAGAATTTATATCGTCCTGATAATAGATCGTCATCACCAACCCAAGTAACACCAGAAGGTGATAGTAATGAAGGTGTTGGGTTTAAAAGTCCTTTATTTAGAAATGAAACATTGTCACCACTAGCGGGTACGGCAACAACGATACCCAGTGATTCTAGACCACTTAGTTTAAGAACTGCAGCTAGAATGAGTCAACCTATAGGTGGAACAAGTTCAGTTGTACAACCTAGAGGACCTAGTAGTAGTAATGAAGTGAGGTAATTATTACCGTATTGCATTTATGTGCATTATGAATACTTTGAGAATGAATTTTCATTTAATTAATTCATGTTATTTATTAATTTTTAACAAAAATATCAGAGATGATACACCAAAAGGTCGACTATTTGTTTCAAATCCTGACCTGGATTACGAAAGTGATTAGCTCTTAAATATTTAGTAACTAATCTTGGTTATTTCAGTTAAAACGTGTGAAAAAATACATATCTTAGTGATACATTTATACTATAAGAGAGTCAGTTAATATTTTACATCACTATACGTAGTATTAGTAGTATTTTACTATTACAGTAATTAATTATTCTTTATAAATACATATTCCCCATTTCTTCATATGAGTACGCACCTTATTAACTTCTTTAGGAAATAGTGGCGAAAGATATTGTATTTTAGTTTAAAAAAACAATCTTCATATGATGTATATTATTGTTTAATTATTATGAGTGTTTTCATTTAATTATAACATTATATCGTGATGTCATTGGGTATTATTTGTACAAATTATAATTTTTATTTGTGACGTGTGTTTTAAATTGTATAGTATATATATATATATATATTAATTGGTCTAATAAGCGGGAATAGAATTACACTATGCAACAAGGGGACTTTTTTTTTTTCTAGAATTTCTTAAATTACTTAAACAAATAATCGGTATACATCAAATAAAAATTCATGTATCATGTTTTTTACGAAAAAGATTCTCAAGTCGCATTAATAACTATCTCTAAAATTTTAAAACCTAGTTTTTTTAAGATTTCGTAATTTAATCATACCGTACAAAGATAATAAACTGCATAAAATAAGATTATATAATAAAAAAAAAAAACTTTATTTATTTTTCTTGCATTAGTTGCAAAGCAATGGAAATCACTTTTAGAAGTAAATTTACTTTTTTTCGTAGATCAAAATTAAAATTGAACCTTATAGTGAACTTGAAAATTTATAGTCTTGCTTAGAAGGCGTTAAGAT